CAGATATAAACTATTGTAAACTTTTGTGCTGCTGTGACCTCTGACCTTTCTTCAGCTGGATCTTGCGGCAGTGAGTAGCCCACAGTCTGTGCTTCCTCTTCTTCTTCCTCGGCGGCGTGTCCTCGTCTTCGGCGGGAGCGCGAGCAATGATGGCCGACTCCTTGACCCTGAACTCGTAAACCTGCAAGACGGCGTGTTAGACCGAGTGTCATCGTGAAGCTGAGCTGAAACAGACGGCGGCGAGTGCGATGAACCGGCAGCTCACCTGTCTGCAGGTCTTGGTGCCGATGAGCCGCGCGATGGCGCAGTAGTTGTCGTAGTACGTCCCGATGAGGACTCTGAAGAGAGACGCCTCGGCGCCGCTCCACTCCACCGCTTCAGCCTCACTGGACAGCTTCATCTTCACGGGAGTCTGACACCGCGAGTTTCCCTCTGCACACATCAAATCAACACTGAGGACGTTTCCAACGCCGCAGGAAATAAACCTGCATTTTGCCTCAAGGAACCAGGACTAAAGTGAGGAGCTCGACAGGTCATGAACGAGGGTCCTACTTTCAGGGAAGGGTCTAACAGACAGCAGCGGGAAAGGTTTGTGTCATAAAACAAGGAGCGCGATGGTCTCATGGCTGAAACGGAGCTCGCTTAAATTTCCTCAGAAGGACAAACATTTCCGAGGAATCTACGATAAACAGCCGAGGAGTGCAACCGAATTCTGAACAACCAAAAGGAGGAAGTTTGATAAAACCGTAAAAACAAAACAAAAAGGCTTCTTATTACAAACACTGATGTCAGAGACTCCTGGTCAAATCGATCTCTTTGAGCCCAAATTTAAATACTTCAAATGTCTCAGTGCACGAATATGATTGAAGCGTCACATGACCACGTGTGCCTGCACTGTATGAAGACTCACTGCTGCTGCCTGTTGCTTTGCTTGCAAACTAGTTTGTGCAGTGATGACAGGAAGGAAGGAAAAGAGTGAGAGTCTCATAACGTTGTATAAACTCCAGGCCGTTATTGTCGTCACGTCGCGTGTTTGTGACTTTATCTGCAGCAGCTTTGAAGTGCAAACAATCGTCTGTGATCTGTGCTGTCAAACAAACGTCCCACAACAAGGGGGCTGCATGCAGAGGGGAAGACCCGCTGGCAACAAGAGCATCGCTGCAGCGTTCAGCCTCTCATCGGTGAACCGCAGGCACGGTGCAGGTTACTGCACGCATGAAGAGATGCTCGACTCAAAGAGCTTCACAGGAGCACGAGGATCTCTTCTACAGTCTGAGCTAATCACAGTTTTAAAGTCTTGATGAAGCAGCAATGTTACAGTCTTTGTTTAAAAGATTACTCCAGCTGGTGGTTTTTATTTATCCAAAGTCCTAAATTAGCATCAAATGAATGTGCCTGCTGTTTGGGAATCGCCCTCCTCAGAGGAAATAACTTTAACTTCCCAGGAAAACGAATTCCTGAGAGATCAAGTTCGAGGTTCTCTGGATGGAGTCTGTCTCTGTGCTCCAGTGTTAAATTCTGCTGCCAATTCCTTCACAGATCTATTAAGGACAATAAGGGACATAAACAGAAGTCTTAACGTCCCATCAGAGCTGTAATTATAACGGCGAGGAGGAGATGTGATGTCAGCTTTTTAATAGCTTCATGAAAATAAACTGTTGCTGCGACTAATCTCTGAGGTCATCGCTGCTCTGAACCCTGCGCTTCACAGGCAGAAACGTTCCTGTTAGATTTGATGGACAAACAGAGACTCTGTTACGTCTGTAACCCTGTCAACATTAAACTTCTACCGTCTGTAATCACCGCCGTCTGCACCTGAGCTGCTGGTGGTCTCGTCCTTCTTGTCCTCGTCGTCTTTGTCGTTGTCTCGCTCGTCCTCTTTGCTGCCCTCGCGGTCGCTGTCCGTG